ATAATTCATTTCTTTCGTAAACTGTTCATTGACAATTATTTACGGAGTTTATAAACATCGGGTTCAAATTCCATATATTCCAAACTTGTAAACAAGAGTTAACCCGAATTTCACAGGTACACTTTGTGAAACGTTACAATATATATATATATATATATCTGTATGCATTCTGCTTTAAAATGCACATTTTTGTCCCCCACTTTTGCGAAAGGGGACATTAAATCTTATTCGTCTGTTTGTGGCAAGACCTTTCATTTGATACCAACAACTTTGACCTTTTGACCTTGACCTTGGAGATTTCCGTACTTATGAAAAAACTTTAACCTTGGCCATAACTTTTGAACGGTAAGGGTTGGGGCTTTCATAATTCAAGTAATTAATTCCCGTAAAAAGATGCTTCATTGGATACCAAGAACTTTGGCCCTTTGACCTTGACCTTGGAGTTTGACCTACTTTTTAAATACAACCTTGAACATAATTTCTGAAGAGTTAGAACTAGGGCATTTATGCTTCAAATATTTATTTTATGTGACAAGACCTTTTATTTGATATCAAGAACCTTGACCCTTTGACCTTGACCTTGGAGTTTGACCCATTTTTATACAAAAAATCCAAACTTTTACTTTGGCCCTAACATTTAAACAGTAGATACTAGGAATTTCATATTCCAAAGACCAATTCTTTATGGCAAGACCTTTTATTTGAAACAATTTAACAACTTTGACCTTGACCTTAGACATTTCCGTTCTTATGAAAAGACTTTAACTTTGGTCGTAACTTTTGAATTGTAAGGGCTAGGGTTTTCATAATTCACACATGTAATCCTTGTTAGAATACCTTTCATTGGATACCTTTCATCGGATATCAACAACTTTGTCCTTGGATTTTGACCTACTGTTTACAAACTTTAACCTTGGTCATAAGTTTTGAACAGTGAGTGCTAGAGCTTTCATACTGTTTATATGTTATCTTTGCCACAATATCTTTCATTGGATATCAACAAACTTGACCTTTAACCTTTTCACAAACTTTAACCTTGGCCATAACTTTTGAACAGTACTTTCATACTTCTCACATGTAATCTTTGAGACAATGCCTTTCTTTACAACCCAACAACTTTGACCCTTTGACCTTGACCCTGGAGTTTGTCCTACCTTTAAAAACGTTAATCTTGGTGATAACCTTTGCACAGGCGGTGCTATGGTTTTATATTTCACATTTGTATTTCTTTTGAAAAGGCCTTACTTTAGGTACCAACTTTCTTGATCTGCATTGAGAAAGCTAAACGCTATGTTGCCATACGGGGAATGCCATACACACCGAGAACGTTATTATAATGATTCTAAAAAATCCCTAAATCGGGCAAAAATTTACATCTGAGTGAATACTACGTATATTTAATAATTTACAGATATCTATAATTTCATATTAAAAAACTTTATCAACACCTTTTAGCCAACAGAAAATTAACAAATGGTTGTTGTAACATCCCCTTTCTTCTCCGATTTTCTTAGACACTAACTTTGCAAATACAAATGAAATCTTAGTCTGTCATGTCATTACTTCGATATCTAAAGTCGTAGCACATACCGTCCAAAAGTTAAAGCCAAGGTAAAAGTTTGGAATTTGGGGGTAAAAGTGTGTCCAATTCCAAGGTCAAAAGGTTAAAATTGGCTGTACCCAAAGAAAGGTCTTCTCACAAAAAATAAAGACACCTGTGGTCATGAAATATGAAAGCCATAGTCTCATCCAGTCAAAAGTTATGGGCAATGTTAAAGTTTTTGCGGACAAACAGACAGACGGACGGACGGACAGGAAAAAAAGCTATATACCCCCGAAACTTCTTTTACGGGACAAAAATATAATATGCAAACTGACAACTTTTTCATAACCAAACTTTTTTTTCAGCTGATAAAAAAAACTCTTAAAATCATCAGATGTAAGTACATTTAGAAAGGGGAAAAACAATACTACATGTGCCAATTTTTGGTATGATGAAAACTTCTTTCTTTACTTCATAATTTTTTTTCCCCAAAGCCCCCATTTTGTTAAGGTTTTGTTGACACTAGTAAAAGACAAAAGACATTTTAAAGGTTTTGAGCAAACCCCATTTTTGTTTTTCTGTTATCATAGGTCATAGGCAATTTAATTTAGTACTTGTTTTTACGAATTAAACCATCCCTATTTTTTATGAGAAGTTTGAAACTTGATTCATAGAAAACAAAATATTTTTGTTAAGATCTAATTTTTTAAGCAATCTCTTTTGTGCGCAAGTTTTAAAAATAGGGATCATAAACGTTAAACTTTTGAAAAATAACATTTTATTAATATGATTTTTGCAAATTATTCATCCTGGGTAAAATCAATGAGATTTACAATCATGGAAACTTTTTTAAATTCTTTTACTGACACCACCTTCAAAATGACCTTTTTAAAGATTAAAATGACAACTGTGGAAACTTACTGTATAAAACATAATAAACAAATCTATGAATGCGCCTATCTTTGCGCTAATAGCCTTAGAACATTTTAATACATATATATCGTTTTCTTTTAATTAGGGATGTCAAAATTGTCAATAATTGATATTCGAATATTCGATAGGAGTATTCGAATATATTCTATTTAAAATAAATACATTTTGCATTATAAAGTATATATTTTAACTCTCCTGTCAGCCAGTATATGTTGTATGTCATTATTTTGGTATAAAATTTTACGTATTATTGTAAATGCAAACTAATTATATTTTTAAAATTTTACAGAGTATATGAAGAGTATACATCTAAAATTAATGAAAATTTGTTTTTGAAAATTCAAAAGCTTTTTAGTATAGATTAACTAATCTGGATTACCAACATTACTTACTCCAATTTATACCACTTTAAACAATTATCTACTGAAGAACAATTAAAATCTATTAGTTTTAGTGAAGTAATTTCCCGATAATTATTTTTAATGATATATACATAAACAAGGCATCCATGTGTTTTCTCTGAAACTGTGTCCTTACAACAATACAAACTGATTGTAGGTTATTGGTTATCACTGATTAAATTATCAAAGATTAATTTATTCTAATAATTTCACTCTTCACACTTTTGAAGTAATCCAACAGGACTGTCTTTTAATTTTTTTTTAAATCAAATCTTATTCATGTCAACTGTACAAACTTCATTCAATTTCAAATAAAACTTGTCAGATTTTTCTCTCTATTAAATGCTTATACTTAAAAAACCGAATATTCGAATCACAAATTTGTATTCGAATATCAACTCATCGAATGAATATTCGAATATTCGAATATTCGTTGACATCCCTACTTTTAATGGTGATAAAACGGTTTGTATTATTAATGTAAAGTATAGTATAGCTTTGATTTTGTTATTTTATTTAAGCTTAAGCTTAAAGGCTTTCAGAAATAAACACTTCATATCATAAGGCTGCTTGATATTACCCGTATGCATTTGCCTAACAAGAATATTCTTACCAAAACAAATGTTTAAAAAATTGCATCAAAAAATGACAAGGGGTCAATATTCTACGGGGTAATTTTTCTACAATGCACACGGAGAAAAACGACCCCAAGGCAATAACTTCTACGAAAAAGTGGGTCATTTTTCTACGTAGAATATTGACCAAGGGGTCAAATTTCTACGTAGAAAAATGACCCCCGGTCAATATTCTACGGGGGTTACTTTTCGTCGTTACACCGGCGTAGCGCTACGACTGGGCGTGCGACCTTTGATGAAACATGCTCCAGCTGGAGCCTAAAATCGCGAGCGACATTCCTCATGTTCCTAAAATTCCACAATCACCAAAACCAGGAGTGGTGCAAACGCGCAGTGGACGCGTCGTCCAACGTCCAAAGAACCTTGATGATTGCGTTTAATGACATTTGGTTAAAGACATAATTATGTGTTTTTTTCAGAAAAATTTGAATGTTTGTGTAATTGACTGTGTATTTGTAGAGTTGTAGTGTGGTTTGTATTCAATGTTCACGTAAAATAAGTACCCTTTAAAATGATTCAGGTAATGAATGTTCCAGTCAAATGTATATTCTAGTCTAAAATTAATTTCGTTTAAAAGTTCATTGTATTTCCGTAGCTGGGAGGGAAAGATGTTTCGGATACATGTTGCATTCATTCATTCATTATCAGTTTGTGTACCATGTGATCTTTATTTGTAGTGTTGTGTATGACGTCACTTATTGTTATTTCTTAATAAATAGTGAATAATAAATTGACTACACGTGTTGTTTTTTTTTTGTTTTTTGTTTTTTTTTTATTTTGAATTTCGTTTTTTTTACATTATTTTTACCAAATTGAGATATGTGAACTCGACATTTATAATTTTAATAATAAATCACTATAAAAATAAATTTTCACCCATAAAAACATAATAACTATGTACCTAGTTTATTCAATACCCAGGAGCAGAGAAGAAGAATTTCAAAAAAATTAATGCACTTTCACTATATAATCTACCTAGCCCCATCATAGCACTAGAACCCACAGACCATGGGGCCATAAATTTCACAATTTTGGTAGAGGACTCAATGCTTATAACAATCATGCAAACAGTTTGACTGCTTGATGTAACAATCATGCAAACAGTTTGACTGCTTGATGTAACAATCATGCAAACAGTTTGACTGCTTGATGTAACAATCATGCAAACAGTTTGACTGCTTGATGTAACAATCATGCAAACAGTTTGACTGCTTGATGTCCTGGAGTAAAGAAGATTTTTTAAAGATCGCATTAATTTAAGTGTTTTGGTATGCTATATGCCAAATTTTGACGCAAGTATTTCCAGAGAAGAATCTGAAAATGTTCAAAAGTTTACGATCGACATACGACGAACGACGACGGACGAAAACAAATAGCAAAAGGTCACCTGCTGAGTGACTCGGGTGACCGAAAAAGGTACAATTTCTTCTAATTTTATGACACATCACTAAATGAATGTAAAAATATGACAAAAACACGTATAAGTACCTTAAATTGGCCAATAGGTAGAAGGTTTGGAAAATCTGAAAGTGCACTTTTCTCATCCGTCGCCATTAACGAGGGTTGGAATTTCCCGCCATTGTAAACAAAGAGTTCCATTAGTCCTTCCCGTGTTAAAGAGGTGCGCCGAATCCGGTCCTGAATGCATTGTACGTGAGAAAATTGCATAGGAAAAGCAAAACGATCGGAGGTTGTTTTTACTATGCTGGTAGGTAAAACAGGGATGGGAATAGGAGTCAGATAACGCCTCTCTCTTTGTGACAACTTATTATCTGAAATATATTAATTTATTATATACCTCATGTATATCACTCAATTTTACTGTTGATTTTACGTTATCACCTGAAGTCGTGATCCGACTTTCCGGATCACCACACTGTGGTTTTCTGAATCCATATCACCACTCTCTGAAACTGATGACGTAGTACGCAGAAACATGACGTTATTTTTCTTTTGCGTTAAAAAGTCCCTTGTTATTATGCTTTGTTTTTTGGATAAATGTTATACAATTGATCTTTAAATTTTCTCTTGCTATATTTTCCTAGTTATGAGGGGGTATATATATAAAATACATGGTTACTGTCTTGAAATATTTACAAGCTATATTTGGGCGAGGGTAAGAAAACGTGATAGAGGGCGAGGCTTGCCGAGCCTTCTTACGTTTTCGACCTGAGCCCAAATATCGCTTATATTTCAAGACAGTTATCATGTATTTTGTTTATCCTGCAACAAAATTTTACATTTGAACGTCCAAAGCAAGCTTATTCCGACATATTTAGGCACATCTCTGCAGTTTAAACTATGACGCCATGGCGTAAACATTGCAATATACATGACGTCACAATGCTTTTGGAACGTCGGAATACATGCACGAGGCTTTATTAGGGCAGTGACCGGATAAAGCTTTGGTTTATTAGGTTACCTTTATTAGGTCAATGCAAGGGGTAGTTGCAGGATATATATATATATATATATATATATTTATATCGTCAGGTGATATATCGGTTTTTAAAACGTTTAGTTGACGAATGGTTGACCACAACTCACAATCCGAGAAACAAGAATATTACGCCAACCATTCGTCAACTAAACAACGTTTTAAAAACCGATGAGGAAATGGCCAAAGTTTTAGAAAAGTATAAGTTTATCAACAGCAAACGACAACCAAGGAATCTACGCAGGATATTATGCAAATCTTCATTCCACCACCAACATTTATGTTCAGTGAAAGTGTTCCGATCTCCGTTGTGGAACTTGCAATTACATGAAAACTGGAAGTACTTTTAATTTCGGGAATAAGGATTTTACCATAAAAGCAGATATGACATGCGAGTCTAAAATAATTTATTGCATTACATGTGCAGGATGTGGACAATTCTATATTGGGGAAACTGGAACCACACTACGTACACGTGTCCGTATACACAAGCAGCACATTAACCAACCTGAATACCGAAAAATTAATGTAAGCGGACATCTTGATATTTGTGGCAGGGGACAATTTTCAGTTTTTCCGTTTTACCAACTTTATACAGACAAAGTTGTGCAAAGACGAGAAAAGGAGAAATACTTTATAAAACTGTTAAAACCATCACTAAATAGTTCACTTTAGACATTTTTGTATAACACAGACATTTGTATGCAACTACAATGCTTATTTTCCTTTAAGGTAGATCGCGGGTTTACTGTCTGCCTGAAAACATACTCTGAAAATTTGTCAACTGAATCCTCTCGTTTCAAATTTTACTTTCTGAAATTTTTGTGAGATTCGTCTGCGTGGTTATATTGTTATCATTTTTCAAAGGCACTAATGTTGATGAGAACTGACGACGGTACTACAATGAAATATATAGTAAATGCGCCTTTCTCGCCGGTAAATGTATTTCAAATCCATGCCCATAATATGAAAACGGCGCAGACGAATTTTATATTACTCAACACAATGAAACTAGGATAAATTTAGAATCGATCTATTAAAAAAAATTAATATGTGTTCTCGCTCATTTTCTCGCAAAAAAACTTTTAATTTTTACAAATTTGTAACAAACGTAAATAATTTCATTAAGACGTTATATAACGTTAGTGCGACGTCATTATTTTCGTACGTCTCAGAATGACGGTGTAATCAACAATTCACTGAAAATAAACCATGTTTTATCGCATTTTCAATTTTTAATTGATTGGCAATAAATGTTCATGCAAACATTGTCATAATTTACCTATTAAATTGTCACACTTTTTTCAATGAAACACAGAGTCATATTATTTGAATAAATTTTGACCTTTCATATTTTAACGTTATGTTAACTCTTAATTTAATTTAGTATTGATTAGTTATTGATTAATCCTTTATCTTTTATTACATATAAATAAATATTTTTACATACAAAAGAAGCTTTAATGTACTGATGGAAATACATTTTGCTTGTTTGTAGTTGATACTGTAAACGTAGTAAGCTTTTTACGTCGAATCCTATTGTGACGTCAGCAAACCCGCGATCTACCTTAACTCATGTAATTGTTTCCTCTATCAGTATTGTGACGTCATTGTATTGTTTTTGACGTTACTTATTACACACGTCTGAAGAAAACAATGAAAGCACTTACGTTTAAACAAGTGTTGCCTTTTTGTTTTATTTTAATATTGATTACCGGACACTGAGATATCTATTTCATTTCTTTTGGATATATATATATATATATATATATATATATATATATATATATATATATATATATATATATATATATATATATATATATATATATATATATATATATATATATATATATATATATGTCGAAAAGTGTTTTAAAGTTTTTTATTATATATCCTCGGAGGTCCATGAGTCGTTACCCTAACTTGATCGTGACTGTTTGTAAATAAATTTGAAGTGCTGTTTCATTTCGTAAGTCATACCTCAATTAAACATGTTCTTTTCTTTGCAGTAAATTGTTCAATAAAAAAAATCATGCCTTTTTGATTGTTTTCATCTCATTTAAGTTACAGATGTTTACTCGGCGACATTTTGAAAAGCAGATCCTAGGGTCGTGACGTCAGCGGAAATTGAAGTAAAAAGGCCAAGAGAATGAATATATACGTTTTTCATTTTTCAACTCAAAGTTTAACTGTGTGTCAACATTTTTTAAAGACAAATTAATACAATCTTTACAAAGAATGAATTTTTAAGTTAAACAATTATAAAAACTTATATAACTAAGATGAATTTAACACTAATTCAATACAAATTTATGCAGTAGCAGCTAGCAGTATTGTGTTACTCTGTACTACAGTGTGGACAAAAGAAAGGATCATTTCTTCTCACAACACGTATTGGTGAACAATAGATCAAGTGAACCCAATGGCTGCACTTGTCACACTGAGCCCACTTCACAAATACAAGAGAAACACATCTTTTCAACTCATCTGGCTGAAACTTCTTGCAAACGCAGCACAGTTTAGAGGGATCCATTTCAACATCACTGTCAGTGTCTGAAGTATTTTGGAGATCCTCGGATATGGTCAGATTTATTGTTGATGGGCCTGGTAAATCGTCAATAAGTGCAGTTTTTCTAAAACTTGTCTTCTGGTGCTTCTTACCCCCAATGTCTTTCTCTTTTTTCTTCTGACTTTTTTCATGGTCTTTCATTCGCTGACGCACATTTTCTGAAATTTCCCTGCCGGACACGATCTTGCTCATAGTTTTCCTCTCTTTAATTTCTCCTCCACTCTTCTTTGCCTTCAGATGGTTCTCCTTCTCTTGTAACTTTACCACATAATTTTGCTGATCTTCATTATCTCCCAATCCTCTCTCATTCTCTTGGCTTTCAGCGGCCAGGCCCTTGAAGACTTCTGCTGGTACCAAATACCTCGAAGGTACTGCGTCTTTACAAAGGGGGTAAATCCCGGTTCGTCGAAATCCTGACTGGACGTTTTAGGGAGACAGCGCCTTCGTGTACGCCTTGTATGCAACTTCACAAATGTTATACCTGGTAATTGTTGCTGTTGTCTCCCTTATCAACTTGTGGCACAAACAATTGTAAATGTTTTGAAATGGGCCGTAGCAGGCAACGTCCATTGGTTGTAATACATGGCTTGTATGGGCTGGAAGTATAAAGATAATTATCCCCTTTTGACTTGCCCACTCTACAAGATCCACAGACACATGGGATTTGTGTCCATCTAAGAGGAGCAATATCTGTCCTTCATCTCGTGGAACAAACTTGAGGAAGTGGTGTTCCAGATACTGTCGAAAGATTTGTCCATTTGACCACCCAGTTTCGCTCACCGTGCCACTAGCCCCTGGGGATGCTCCACTCAATAGCTCTGGCATCATCCGTTTGCCGGGGAAGACAAAAAAAGGTGGTACAGAGACACCGCTTGCACTGCCTCCTCCAAGAATGGTGATAGTCTTTCCAAGACCCGATGTTACTGACTGCAGACAGTAAGCTGAATCTCCGACCACGGCTGGTGGTTTGTGGTCAACAGAAATACCCTTTTCATCAACATTAAAGATGAGATGAGGCTTTCCATACAGATCATGTTTGGAGAGAGTGTTATGAAGATTTTCAAAGTAGTTGGACACAGTTTCACTGGAAGCCATTTTCGCTCTAACATGCTCTAACCCTCGTGGCTTCAAAACTTTTAATTCAGGCCATCGCTTTAAAAAAACCTCTCATCCACTTCAAAGAAAAGGGCTTGTCAGGAGTTCTCTTACCCACAAAAATTGCGTAATCTGTTGCAATATTTATGCATTCCTGTCTAGTATACCCATAACCAAAAGCTGCCATTGTTTTAAAATGATTGACTAGATTGGCCTCTTCAAGGTTGTCTAGAACTGGAGTTTTACCAAAAACAGCAGTTTCTGGGTCAACTTTTAGCAGAACCCTGTCCCTTAAAGTTGTATCAGGCACCCGAAAAATTTTTGAAGCTTTCCTTACTGATATTTTCTTTTCCTTAACCATTTTATATGCATTTGTCATTTGTGATGGAGAATAAAGCCTATAGTTTCTTTTGTGAGGCTTGGGACTTTTCTACAATAGCAAACAAACAAATTCCATTGTAAAAAAAATGTCTAAGGAACAATTCAACATGACTGGAAAAATTAACTTTGTTTGGCCTATCGGATTCCAATGTAGTCATGTGACTTCTCTTGATATAATGTAAACAAAGCGTAAAATAGCACTGATGCACTCAATATAGGTCGTAATAAAAAAAAAATTGGACTTTATCGTCATACTTAATTGGTAATAATGGATTTGACTATTAATC